TGTTGATTTTATAGCTGGTATTTTTGATGGGAGAGAAGGAAAGAGCTAACAGGACACAGAGCAGAGTCATAAGAACTTACCTATGTGCAAAGATGTTCATGCCTGATTTTGTAACAGTAAAAAATTTAGAAATAACGTAGCATTCTTAGTGGGACATGTGCTACATAAATGGTGCGTTCATACCCTGAGACACCCTGCAGCCATTAGAAAGAATGAACTGGCACAGCGGGTGTCGCTGATGCTGGGAAACAGCATGTTTCGTGGTGCAGTGATGGAAATGCCTGTGTCAGTTTGCGTGGATTCAATCATGCCCCTCACTTGCCACATGATCTTGGGGACATTATTTATCCTCTCTGAGCCTCAGTTTTCTTACCTGTAAAATGAGGAGAATGGCAGTAGATACTTGATAGAGTTGCGAGGATTCCAGATATGCTTAGTTACGCGTAGGCATGTATTAAGTAGTGAATAAATGTTTGCTATGTTAATCAAGTGAAAAAATAGTAAATAGCCCAAATGTGGATGCTATTGCCCCAATTTTATGTTTTAATTTTTTCTTCATGCAGAAATATATGTATATATAAATATATACATGCATGTGTGGATTAAACAACTGTTTACAGAGGTTATCTCTGAACTATGAGACTAGAGAGAAGAAATGAGGGAGGGACTTATACTTCCTTTGCTTTGTTTTTATTTTTTTAAATAGACTATACTTTCAGAGCAGTTTTAGGTTCACAGCAAAATTGAGCCCCACACACAGACAGCCTGCCTACATCAACACCCCCCGCGGCAGAGTGCCACGTTTGTTATAACCGATGCACATATGCTGACATATTATTGGGACCTACACTTTTAACTTTGTACATTTCTGTCTTGTTTTCATTTCTACAATGAGCACATATGGGTTTTGCAAGTGAAGCAATATTCATGAATGGCTGACTCGCACCTTAAGCTCTAGAATGGCTAGATTCTAGAAAGTGGCCTGGTTCACAAGGTTACCACACAGAAGGGGATGCTGCTCCCTGGGGTTGCCTGGGAATGGGGTGTGAGCCTCAGCCCCCCCATTCTGCTGTCACAAGGTGACAGACACAGGCTGGCCTGCCTGGCTGCCTCCCAGTCTCTCAGAGGGGCAGCTGACAGCAGCTCCCAAACCTAAGGAGGCCAGTCCCTGGGCCATGCTTCCTGCAGCACAGCCCCTGCACAGCTTTGGGACACCCAGGGAGCAGGTCCGGGAGGCTGAGAGAGCAGCAGGTGTCCTCGGGCTGGCTAAGGCTCAGGCCCCAGCCGCTTCTGAGGGAAGAGAGTCCTGAGCAGGGGGAGGGGCAGTAGGCAGGCCCTACATTCAAAGTCTCCTCTGGCATCCAGTAGCATGGTGTCCTTTCCCTGAGCCTTTTCCCTCATCGTGATGCAGAGATTGACCCACCATTGTGAGGGTTAAGGGAAAAGATCTTCGGGAAAGTACCTAACTCACCCCCTGCACATGGAAGGTTCTCAGAAGGTTTTTATTTCCTGTCTGCACAGCAGGACTCACAAGCCTAGACCGTGGGATAAATAAGACACTGTCTGGCTCAGTCAGGGTGAGTGTAGAGTTGGGGCTGTCCATCCTGGCAAAATCAGGACAAGGACAGGGTAAGGATAGTCTTGGGGCTCCCAGGATAGACCGGCTGCATTTCTGGTGCTGGTGAGCCACTTTCTAAACAAGCTCTCAGCCCTTCTTTGGGGTGGATTTAAAACATAATCCTCAGAAAGGAAGTCATTCCTGGAAATGCAAGGAGCAGGAGCTATAAACAAAAAGTATGGACAGAGGCTGCTCCCCATGCATGCTGGGAAAATGGGGTGCCCACCACCCACAGGAGCGAGGGGCCGGGTTGGGGGCAGGTGAGCCTCTTGGATTGGCTGCTGCTCACCTCGTCCCGTTTCCCCAGGTGATTCCTACTTCAACCCGTCTGAGTGAGCAGCCGCCCAACATGAACTACAGTCCCCATTTGCCCTTTCTGTGCCTGTGTCTCTTCACTCAAAGGTGAGCTTTGCTACCCCAGGATGGCCTTGGTCTGAGTCGCTTTGTGTGTAGGCATTTGGTCAGGTGGGGTGGGGGGGTACAGCAGCTCTTCCTACTTACCTACAGCAAGGCAAAATCCAGACCATTCACTTCCCAGGAGCATTGGGATTATGAAACTTCCTGCCATTTATTCTACTTAGAGAAGAGAAGCTTCCAAAATGGTCATAGATGGAGGAGGCCTTGAGCTTTTTGAGAAGATATTTGGAGGTTTCCCAAATCATCACCACATTTTGATCTATGGCATATGGGTCATAAATGGAGATGCTAACTCGACAGCTGAAAATTAAGAGATTTCTCTTTAGGAAATTCGAGAAATGTGGTCCACAGTCTGGTCCATGGGCACAACACACGCACACACGTAAACACAGGATCAAGTTCATGTGCATAAATGTTTATTCACGCATAATCAAACATGTGCCACAAAACCCGTGTTGTGTTCCAGGATGTGTATCCAGGGGCGTCAGTTCAACATCGAGGTCAACAGAAGTGACAAACTTTCCCTGCCTGGCTTTGAGAACCTCACAGCAGGATATAACAAGTTTCTCAGGCCCAATTTTGGTGGTAGGTTATCCTTTATGTTCAAGACATCAATTCGAAGGGACAGGAGCAGAGACAATACGTGGTGGAGGTTCCAAGAGGTTGTTTTTGGGTTTTTTTTTCATATTTTTTATTTTAGCGTATTATGGGGGTACAAGTGTTGACTGCATTCTCTGATCTGCAGCCCATTTAGGGACTGGCAATGATGGATGAGGACAGCTACTAATGACTTTTCACGCTACCTTGAAGAAAGCGCTTTGCCTCTCCACCTGGGAGATAAAGAAGTCTCTCTCCCACTGAAGAGGTTGCAAAAGCCTCCTAACAACCACTCCCACACTGCCTTTCTTCCACCCCCACTTCCAGTGCCATTATTCAGGGAACTCACCGTACGCCACCAGGACTACCCCACCTGGTCTTCCTGCCTCCAGCCTGCCCCTTCTCAGCTGACTCCTCACACGGCCACCTAGACGACCCAGAACACCCACATGCGCCCCAGCAACCTGGCACAGAGTCCGGCACACCGGGCCCTTCCCGACCCAGCCTCTATCTGGCCACCGTTCTCGTCCTCCCCTCTACCCACCTGCCTCCTCCTACAATTCTCCACCGTGTGCCCAAATGCATCCTGACACTCTTGGCCTCCCAGACCTCTGGGCCTTTACGGAGGCTGTTTATCTGCCTGGGGGATTGCTTCTTCCAACTTGACTCCCTGGAAAAATGCCACTTTTTCTTCAAGCCTCAGTGCAAAGGCTCCTTCCTCTAAGATGCCTTCCCGGAGTCCTCCAGGCCCCAACCACTTTCTTTACACTTTATTTTGGACATACCTTCAAAACATAGCCGTTAACCCGTTATACTGTAACTAGTTTTATGTCTGTTCCAGCTCTAGGCTGCAACCTCTTGGAGGAGTCTTGCTTCATTACCTCACTAACGAACCCCAGTAGGAGCTCAATACTTGACATATAACAAGTTGTCAATTATATTTGTTGAAAGAATTAGGCAAGAAGGGAGGGAATGAGACCAATGGCACACCTTCTCATAGCAGAAAGTAGTAGGAAGAGCCTTGGAGTTGAATAAGCCTGAGTTGGGCTTTTAACTCTGCTGCTTTGGCAAGTACCTTAGCTTTCTGAGCCTCAGTTTCCCTTTCTGTAAAATGGGGACATCCCATCTCTCTCACAGGGAGGACTGAATGCAGTGAAGTGTGCAAGCCTGAAGCATTGTGCCTGCCATATGGACAGGGCACAATCCACTCCAATCCTTTTCCCTTCCTGCTCCTCCCTTCAGGTGATAAAACTCTCTGGTCAGGTCTGGGATTAGTGTTAGTCCAGATCCTCCAAGGAGCAGACAGCAAGGGGGGACAACATCTTCAAGATACTTGGTGGGGGAATGTCTGGAGGGAAAATGGGGCAAGAGGAGGGGGAAGCCGTCAGAATACAGTGCAAGCCAGACCCTGAGGAAGGGAGAGACAGAAGGAGAAAAGGCCAGACAGAAGTGTCTTACATGGCAGTGCAGTCCTGAGTGTGTTTAGAAAGGCCATCAGGAAGTCCTCCAGCCAAAGTTGCCATCAGAGGAGTCGCATCCTTATACGTCCAAGGAAAAGGCCTGCCTTGGCATCCCCGCTGTGTCAGTCCCTGGTTAGCTGCAGCCCATGGGAAGCATGGCCTCAGAGCAAGGTGACAGATTCCAAAGCACAGAAGCCAGGGCCCTCCGTTGATTACACCCCCTCAGCTGGAGATCTGAGAGATGCATTTGCATGGCCACATAATCAGGGTTTGAGATCCTTGGGTCAAGGAACCTATAGAGGCTCCAACTTCCCCTGGTTTTCCCAGGCCCTTTTGAACACTAATGACAAGCATGTGAGTCTGCACACCTTGGTCAGGTCCACTCAACGGCAGGCTGGTGTTTGCAGGGCACTTGGGCAAGGAGCTCAGTCTGAGGACAGAGATGTGAGGCCCAGTCCCACCTGGGGTTAAAATGGGGCACAGGGCTCTCAGTCAAAAAGAGAGGAAGGTACAGCTCTCCACCCCCTGTTTTATGCCTTTAGGCACTTTACCTCCTAAAGGAGCCTGATCTTGCATGGCATCCTGGAGGCCCGGCAGTAGCCATTGCTCTCCTAATGTCTGTGCACTCAGATTCTAGAACCCCGAGGTCCTTAGGAGACAAGAGCTCCGCAGGGTTTTTCAGGGACGGAGCTGGACAGAGCGAAGGTTTGTGAGCAGGCAGTAGCGAGCACCACCCAGGAGCTGGCTTTGACCTCCTTCCTGGGAGAAAGCTGCCCTCTGGTGGCACAGCTTGCTTTCATAGCCAAGGAGAAGAGCAAGCTCTGGTCCATAAAAAAAGCCAACTGAGGCAAGGCCTAGACTGGACTATTTAGAAATAAACTAAACAAAAACACAACAGAACTGGAGCTTGTGTGTTTCCCATTCCCTACATTCTTCGGGGAGGGCATCTAGCATTGACCAATAGCACTTAAATCGGTGCTGTGACCTTCCCAACCCAACCCCACCCCGATGTCTTGGGCTGTTTGTGCTGCTAAGACAGAATACCGGAGACTGGGTGGTTTATACTGACCAGGAGTTTATTGCTCACAGTAGAGGCTGAGAAGTCCAGTATCAAGCTGGCAGCTTCTGGAAAGGGCCTTCCTGCTGCATCACCACGCAGCGGAGGCACGAGAGCAAGATAGAGGGCTACAGCGTCCTGAACTCGCCCGTCAATCCCAGCCGTAAGGGTGGAACCCTCAGGGCCTAGTCCCCTCATAATGGTCTCACCTTAATACTATTACAATGGTAATTAAATGACAACATGAGTTTTGGACGGACCAAACATTCAAACCATGGCAGCACCGGTAACTCTATTTTACAGGTGAGAAACCGCAGCACAGAGAGGCCCAGCAATTTGCTCAAGGTCACAAGGCTGTTAAGCGGCCAGTGTGAGATTCAAACACCCCCATCTTTGACTCCAAGTTCCTCATCTTGAGCTGCACCTTGCTGTCCAGAGGGGCAGAGAGCTATTTAGCAGCCACACCCCTTCAGCACCTTCCAGGGTCTGCCCGCAAAGATCTCCCCCTTTTCCACCAAGTATTAACACTGAATTATTTTTTAATTGCATTTACTCTAAAACTTCATTTCCAAATTCCTACCTATGTTCAATGCCTTGGTTTTCTTAAATTAATAATCAAGTTGCTTTGCCGGATTCCTACTGATTACATGTTTTTAAGCTTCTTTCGAAATCTCCCTCTCTTCTTCCTGGTTAATGCATTGTCACAGTCCCCGGTGGCATCCACGAGGGGTTATTTCTGCAAGTGAATGTGATTAGATCTATTAACCCTGTGAAAAGTTGTTCCTTTTCCAAAATTAGCTAGGATTATGAAAGGGAGGGGGGAAGTAAAGGGAAATGCCATTTTTTTGACCACCTACTATTATGTGACAAATGGCCATGCTGCTGGGAGCTTTGTGCAGAGAACCATGTATGAGCACCTTCTGGTCCATAAAGAAGTGCTGGGCAGGCACTTCCTGTATGTTCCCTCTTGCCCCACTCCACAAAGACACCAGCACACACCTAATCTTTAACCCTCTCTGTGACCCTAGCATGTCATTAGTATTATTCCCACTTGCAGGTGAGAGAACTGTAGCTTTTAAAGAGTCGAGAACTTTCTCAGATCATAAAATGGGGATGTGACAGAGCTGGGGTCTAGGCCCTTTCTCCCGCATTCCCGTCTAAGGAGGAGTCAGCTGCCTGGCCTGGCCTGGCTCCTGAAAAGCTGGCTGTGACACTGCAGTCTCTAGAGCTAGGACTGGCTCCTGCTGAAGTCCAGTCGTCTGCTGAGACTCCAGGACTGAGACCTGAGAGTCCGCACACAGGACCAAGTGGGCAAGGTTCAGAATTCTAAATAGTTTAGGGTTCCAGGAGAGTAAAGGAAGAGGAGGAAAGTGTCAGGAGGTCAGCAAAAGCTCAGCTGTGAGCAGTCTTGAATGCCATCTTGTGGTAAATTTACTTATCAAGGGGGCAAAAAAGACATCTGCACAATCAGATTACCAGATCTCTGTTACAGGTCTCCTATGAAATGCAAGCACCATAGGAAAAACTCTCCACGGAAGAAGTAGCAAATATCTCACCACTATGTTCTTTAAAATATGCACTCATTAACACATTAACTGCTGTGTGAGTTGTATTTAACTCACACTAGTTTTGAGCCTGAGGCCTCGTGAAGCATATGTAACTGCAGTTGGTTCATGAAAATCCTACTTGTGGATGTTCTTATTGTTACAATTAATATTGACAATTTAATTGCATATAACTCGTGCACAGAAAACAATAAAAAATGATGAATTTTTCATTAAATTCAAAAGGATTGTCTTGTTTTCGAAGTTTTTATTCTATTTTCATAATAAAACATCACAGCCCCAGGGAAAAAAATCTTTTTCTAGTGTGGTAGTCAATGTGTTAAACAGGGTGGTCTCTCTATGTATTAAGATAACTATATATTTATGCGTATTTTTCATACAAAAGGGAGGTGCACTATACACAATGCTTACTCCTGAGAGAAGGAAGATAGAAATTAACTTTTTACTTTTTATACTTCTAGACTGTTTAAATTTTTCTAACAAGCAAGTATTACTTTTGTAATTTTTAATTTTTTTTAAATGCATGAGTGTAGTTTTAGGAAACCTTATGTTCATGTTTCCATGTCTTTCCAATTCTTTCTTCATTCTTAGGAGAACCAGTTCAGATAGCACTGACTCTGGACATTGCAAGTATTTCTAGCATTTCAGAGAGTAACATGGTAAGTAAGTGTCATGCCACGGCATTCCATCCAAGAATCCCTCTCTCTGTGTTCAGTGGGGGTGCACATTCTAGCTACCTAAAAACAGAAAAGAAAGACTTATGGCCCTCCTCCATTTGGACTGAAAAAGCTGGAGACCTAGCCCAAAACTCAAGACAGTGGAGATTCTTGTATTAATAGAACAAATGTTCTAAGTACCAGGAAGAAATGGAGTCAAAGGCCAGGAGGAGAGAAACCTGGGAACGCAGTGGGTGCATTGGTGAGGAATAAGAATTGAGGAAAAGAATAAAAGTGTAGTAAGTGAGGCTGGTAGACAGGGCCCTTCACAGAGAGGGAGGCAAGCTGATGAAAACTGATAATCAAGTGACTGCTTTCAATAATGCTACCACTCAAGAGAACATATTAAAGACAAGTTCAGAATAAAGGTGGTTTGCCAAGAGGGCCCAGCACGCGTTCTACGAAAATCCCAGACAACCGTAAGCACTCAGCCCACCAAACGCTTCAACAAGTTGGCAAGGCTTTTGATCTAGGCCAACGCGAGCTTGCATGCCAAGTAGGTTAAAGTCCTGAACATGCAGTGGGAGTTATTGTCACTTACTGCCTTGTGCCACTACCCCAAGACATAACTTTATTCACCCATGGCTGTGTACACTGATCTAAGTGGAAGTGGGAGAGGAGTAAAACTTGACCACTTTTCGTCTGCTTTGGGGGTTTTTCTCCCGGCCCCACCCCTTTCCACCCCCTGCCTCCCCGCCAGGACTACACGGCCACCATATACCTGCGACAGCGCTGGACGGACCAGCGGCTGGTGTTCGAGGGCAACAAGAGCTTCACGCTGGACGCTCGCCTCGTGGAGTTCCTCTGGGTGCCAGACACCTACATCGTGGAGTCCAAGAAGTCCTTCCTCCACGAAGTCACTGTGGGAAACAGGCTCATTCGCCTCTTCTCCAACGGCACGGTCCTGTATGCCCTCAGGTCAGCGGGAGCCCGTGACCTCAGGGTGGGGGGGAAGTGGCTGGATGAACAGGCACAGGTGCATCTTGGGTTTTCTGGAAAGCACTAAAACAGCCTCTCTGAGGTCCCATGCTTCTCGCACTCCTGCCTTCCTAGATCCTTGTCCCGTAACAGCAGGGCCCTCCCTCTGTTAGTCTGGCTCAGTGAGCACCTGCAGAATGCCTGCCCTGCGCCAGCCCTGTGCTGGGCACGGGGGATGCAGAGCTGCATGAAACATCGCCTCAGGGACACGGATATGGAGACAGAGGAGGTCCCGGGAGCTGGGACCCAGGTTGGGGAGTAGGTTATTAGTTTGGAGATAACGTCAGAGGGCGTTTTCACAGGATTCCAAGCTGAGTCTTAAAGGGCGAAGGGAAGTTAGTGAGGGAAGAAGTAAGGGCAACCGCAGGGGCAGACGGAGAGGTGCGTGCGAGGGACTTCCCTGCGTGGGGCTCGGTGGAGCTGGGGCAGCTCCAGAACGCATCTCTGCGTGTCTGAGTCCTGTTTAGACAGAAAATGAAGATGCAGCGCCCCAAAGCATCTGCCGCCTGTAGCCATGGGCTCCCCTCTGCCTTCTTCCCAGATCCCTGAGACCGAAATTTCCTTCCACCCAATCGTTCGCGGAGCCTCTGGTTGGCTGGAACAGGAAGGGTGCTCCCTGCGTGTCGCGTGAGGCAGCCCACAGGCAGAGGACTCGTCCCTGTCTGTACAAGGACTGTGCAAACTTAATGCTCCTGTGTGTGCATGCATGTGTGTGCGTGTGCTTCTGTCTGTGTCATGGCACATACCACAGCCAGTCTCGTGTGAGGATTACAAACAACGGGTGATGGTTTAGTAGCCTGGCTCTGGAGTCACACAGAGCTGGGTGCAAGTCCCTGCTCTGTTCCTTGGCAGCTCTGTGGGCTGAGGTCTTACTTGACTCCCTGGGCCTCAGTTTCAGCAGCAGCAAATTGAGAATGCAAATATTTCCTACCTAGTAGGGCTGTTCAAAGGGTAATGCGTTAATGCATGCAAAGCACTCAGTTCAGGGACAGGCTCACAGTAAGCATTTGGAAATAGCAGCTGTCCTCATTCTCTGTCTCCCTTAATGGAGTGTGGGCTTCCTCGGGTGGGCGCCATGCTATAATCACCTCCACTTCCCCCCCCCCCGCGCCTAGCACAGTGCTGAATGAATAAGGGTGCTTAATAAAAATACGTGACACTGAAGAAAAAAGAAGATAAAGGCCTGTCAATGAAAATCTCCAGTGTGAGGGTTTCACTGACTTTTTTTTTGAGACAGAGTCTTGTTCTGTCACCCTGGCTAGAGTGCAGTGGTGTCATCATAGCTCACTGTAACCTCAAATCCCTGGGCTCAAGGAATCCTCCTGCCTCAGCCTCCCATGTAGCTGGGACTATGGGTGCACACCACCACTCTTGGCTAATATTTCTATTTTTTGTAGAGATTTTTTTTTTCTCCCTCTCTCTCTCTTGCTCAAGCTGGTCTCGAACTCCTGACCTCAAGCAATCCTTCCACCTCAGCCTCCCAGAATGCTAGGATTACAGGCGTGAACCACCATGCCTGGCTTTGACTGACCTTTAACTGAACACCGCTGGGTGCTACGCTCCATGAGCCACAGTGCCTGCTGCCTCCACTTGCTCTGCGCCCTCATCCCAAGAGTAAGCAGGCCCTGTGGGACGAGCACAGCCAGGAGACCTGGACTCTGGTCCCAGCCCTGCCACTCAGAGCCATGTGAGCCCAAGCAAGCCCCTAAGTCTGCTGCCAAATGGTGATGAAAGTGACAGTGAACATGGTTCTAGCCCCGCCCAGGTCTGCCAGGAAGGTTAAGTTTTAAAACTGGATGCAAAAGCATCTCAAACAAGCCCATGAGTGAGTCTGTTCTGTGATGTTGTTAGAAGCTTTGCCTCCGAATTGCCAGAATTCTGACTTTCTCCACTCTGCACCTAGTCTTAACAGAGCCTCGCAGACATTGTTTAGCTCGGAAACCTCCAGGGTGCTTTGGATGCAGGTTCCAAGCCCCATGTCCACTATAGAGTTCAAGGGAAAGTCCTCTTGGAGTGAACGTTGGATGGGAATACATACTTTCTATAGGTTCCTCATAACACTCTTTTTGAACCCATTTTTCCTTTCTTAGAATCACGACGACTGTTGCATGTAACATGGATCTGTCTAAATACCCCATGGACACACAGACATGCAAGTTGCAGCTGGAAAGCTGTGAGTATATCCTGCAGGCTCCTGAGATGATTGTCCTGGGTGACTTAGATCTGTGCATTCATGAAGAATGCTCTGAACATAGGGACGTTTCTTTTCCTGATGCTGATTCACAATGGATTCGGCCCTTCTGACTGTACTTCCTGACGGATTGAGGGACTAAAAGAAACACCTTATAGCCATATATCTTTTGGAGAGAACCTTGGTGCATTAGTAACAAATATCTCCACCTTGAGTGGACTAAACAACCAAAGGACATGCTTTAATGTAGTGAGTCTAGACCAGGGGTCAGCAAACTGCAGCCCCTTAGGCCAAATCCAGCCCATCACCTGTTTCTGTAAACAAACTTTTATTGGAGCACAGCCATGCCCATTTGCTCGCACACTGTCTACTAAGCTAATTCCATGTGAATTCCAAGAAGAAGTGATAGAATGGCCCAAATTTATTTACCTATGGAATCTCATTTCATGAGTATTTTGTCAGACAACCATTTTATAGAAAACATTTTGGTGAAAACAGATCTAGATACTTAAACTTTAAACATTTGATGTATGCCATCTCTCTGGCAACCACCAGTTCTCAAAGGGTCTCTGATTCCAGATGAGTCATTCCATGGCCATGATCTTCACCCACTCTTACTCACCAAGATCAAATTAGCCACCAGTCCCTCTAGTCACTGTGAGAAGGTCATGGACCTTTCATCAATGTCCTATTCATCTGTCAGCAAATATGCCCAAGGCTACCCTTTTAGTTCTAGAAAGACTCAAAAGCTTTCTTTTTTTTCTTTGTCCTAGTGCAAAGCACCTCGTTAATAGGAAAGCCTCACAATTGATTGCAGAGTAGGTAGAGAGGCTAATGGGGAAAGACTTCCTAGGAGGAGGTAACAAAATGTGTTATGTGGCCTGGGTCTGCTGTTGCCCTGGTTTCCTTCGCCAAACAACTTTGTCATTAACTATAATAATAAATGTTTTCTTCCTACTAAATACTATAGCATCCATTTACCAATTGCTTACTGCATACCAGGCACTTTACTAGGTACCTTCCAGTCTTATGAGATCAGTGTTGTTCTTCCCATTTTGCTGATATGGAAATTGAGGCTCTTTATGATTTTGTCACTTCCCAAGGGAACACAGTAAGGAGCAACACTGGGACTTGAACCCACGTAGCCTGGGTCCAAAGCGCAAAGTCCCCCTAACTCTAACAGCCCTTCTACTGGGCTGGAGTCACCTAGGGATTTTGGTCCAGTGGCTTCTTTGTGATCTGAGCTATATATTTTTCCTGAGTATAAATACCATAAAGTGCTTTTTTGTTTGTTTGTTTTATGAGACAGAGTCTCACTTTGTTGCCCAGGCTAGAGTGAGTGCCATGGTGTCAGCCTAGCTCACAGCAACCTCAAACTCCTGGGCTCAAGGGATCCTACTGCCTCAGCCTCCCGAGTAGCTGGGACTACAGGCATGCGCCACCATGCCCGGCTAATTTTTTCTATATATATTGTTGGCCAATTAATTTCTTTCTATTTATAGTAGAGACAGGATCTCACTCTTGCTCAAGCTGGTTTTTCGAACTCCTGACCTCGAGCAATCCGCCCACCTCAGCCTCCCAGAGAGCTAGGATTACAGGCGTGAGCCACCGCGCCCGACCCATAAAGTGCTTTTAAACAGTAATACGGGGATAATGAAAAGCTTTTAATAACTGCTTTCCAGTGTCTCCAGTGCCCATTTATTATCATTATTTTCCCCAAGTTGAGTAGCCACATGATGCTTGGACTGGAGTCCCCAAATCCTGCCAGAACGTTAAACTGAATTACAGTGTGATGGCCACACAGTGGTCCCAAGCTCATTCCTGTGCCAGTTCCTCTCCCTTACTCAGGACCACCCAGTGCTTTCCCTCCTGTGTGTCCTAAGGGAAGTCTTCCCAGAGGGTACAGGACTTTAAATAATTATACCAGAATGAATGTTAACAATCAAAAGCCATGGTGTTATGGCAGCCCGGGGGAGTCAGAGATTTCGGAGGGGAAATGTCACTTGACATGAGACGGTAGGGATTGGTTGGAGTTGGCCAAGACGACAAACAGTAGGACTCGGAATCCGCTAAGACGGAAGCAAGAAGGGACAGAGCAGAGGTGAGACGTGGTGCATATGCCATCATCAACATTTATCACACAACTGCTTCCAACTTTAAAAAACTACTACTTGATATATATATATATATAAACCTTAAACAGTAATGCCAGTAAATGGTCATCTAAACTGTCATTTGGGGATTTGCTCACCATGAAGAATGAGGATTTACTCTAAATTTGATGTGCGACACATGAATTCCCTGGCATTGTCAAACAATCTCCATTGTCCTTAGTAAACCACTCTGAACTGCCCACCAAACTTGGGCACCTGTGATACAGCACAGATATGATTTATTAAGGCATCACAGGATGTCTTGTGTCTGGGGTGGCGGTGGCGGCACCGTGGTCAAGCTCTGGAGAGTGGTGGGCACTCCTACGTAAGGTCACAAGTGGGCAATATCAGAAAAGCACAACTATTATAAGGCAGAAGCCATTTTTCAGAAGTAGACATTTAATTAAAAGACTCAGACAAACAGATTAATTATCTTATTGATTAAATGCATGCAAAACCTTCTTGAAGCAATACAGCTGTTTGGTGGCAGAATAAAACTTGAGGTTATCAAAAAGAGAACTCATTTTCAGTCCCACATGGAACAGGTAATTACCCTCCATGTGTCATGGCTGGCCTCATCTCAAATCCCAGGAGCAAGATTCTCTTGGAAACTTC